ATATATATATATATATATATATATATATATATATATATATCTCTTACATTAACTCGAGATATTTTTTTACTGTTACATTTGGACAAATAAAACCAAATTCAAACATACTCAAATTTACAAGTTTTTTTAACACAACAATTATCATAAGCAACAAAAGCTTTGTTACATAACTACAAAATACAAATCATTCAACTACAAACCCAAATTCAGCAACAAGATCTAAAAAACACCATTGCTGATCATGATCACACTTTTATTCGTATCGCTCCAAACTTCCATCAATCACCTCAACAGAAATTCAAAGCAAATACTTCATAAAAAAAAAAAAAAAAACCCAACAAATTACCCAAATCCTATACGAGCCCTAAACACACACATTCTCAAGCTCAGAATCCATAATCTTAGAGACAGTTTCAAGAAACACAGCCTCACTCATTCCCGTGATCATGAAACCATGGGCTTTTTCAACAATCTTTTCAATCATGGATTCTTTGTTTAATGTTTCTCTACACATGATTTTGCCTATGGTGAAGGGGGAGAGCCCTTTTTTTGCACCTTTTTTTAGAAGCATGGTGGAGATGCGAAAGGTACGTGCACATGCGAGTGAAAGGTCCCACCCATATGAGCTTAAAAGTGCTATGTCTTGCTCTGCATCTAGTGAGTTTATGTAGTCAAGTGATTTTTGTGAGTAGGGTTCACGCGCTTGTGGCCAATAGAGCCAATCAAACGTGCAATCTTCGAACTGTAAAACAAACAACAAATGCAAGTTAGACCGGACAGGACATGACATGACATGACAGAACAGGTTGTACTGCTCTAATGTAGATTAGGACATGACAGGACAGCACAGAACAGATTGTACTGGATTTGCAGATAAAGAGACTTACATTCTCGGGCAAGCAGTATCCATGATCAATAGGAATCAACACAATTCGATCACCTTCGCGGTTCATCAAAATATTTCCCGCATGCCTATCGGCATTTGCGGTTCTCAAATCAAACACCGTGATCTTATGAACCTCCTCCACTGGAAAATCCCTAGGCCCCAAATCCTCACAACTACCACAATTCTTAACAAACATCTGCAAAGATCCAATCTTGATATTCTTTTCACCACCATCATACCCTTGTGGATGATTAAACTCTTCATTCAAACACTTTACCATGATCGTTGGGGGCACACCCGAAAAACCCATCTCCATTTTTGTTGACCGAGGTCCGGTCAACGGATGGTCAAGGATGTAGGCTGCAACTTCCCTCAGTGCACCTTCGCCTACCTTAGTCCCCCTCTTTAGTCCTTCACCATTTGTTGATGGAGGTAGCCCTTGAGGGTTGTTAACAGCCATTGGTTCTTCATCTATGGGTTTGAAAATAGCAACGTATTTTTTCCCTGATGGGTGTTGCATAAAATACGCGCCACCTGTCCCCTCGGATGATCTAATTGGTTTTTTCATTTTTTTTAAACCTTCTGATGCTGAATGTAACATGTCCCATATGACAGGTGGAATTTTCAAATCAGGATTGATGATAACAGGCTGCAAAAGTGATTTGTTTTGAATCTTTTTGTTTCCAAGATCTTTTCTAGGTTGAGATTCTTGAGGCTTCTGAACAACCAAATGAACAACAGCATCTTGATTCTTGCAAATGTCATCAATGAGTCTTTGATCATCAAGCTTTTCGCCATTACACAAGATTTCTTGATCATCAACGTTAACAAATGGAAACCCTTTTGCTTGTTCTGATATCTTTTGTTTCAGATGCCTTATGTTTCTAAACCTTTCAACTTGGAATTTGAATTCTTTTCTGAAAGCGGTTTCTACAGTGATTACAAGAAGGTTAGAGACCCTGAGAATTAAATGAAGGACATCACCACTTGAAACACCGTAGTCTGTAAGAAGAGTGTTGTTTCTTGATAATTCTTTTCCTTCGAAAACTAGCTTCTGTTTCTTCACTAGAAACCCTTTACATGTTTGAATCCTGAGTTTTACTGAAGCAATGGAATCGGATTCCAGAATACACATGGGAATCACAGAATCAGCGACAGTTAGGTATATGACAATGGATTTGTTCCGGTTATGAATGAAACTGGATTCTATGTGAATAGGACTCAAAGCAACATCAACAGCTGACATTGTAGCAATTCGATCACACAAAGTGTTAAACTTTTGGCTTCTTCTTCTTCTTCCTCTTCACTATCTTCTTTTGTTACAACAATATTCGTCACATCTCAATCAAATAGAACATGTATTACACTTACAACAACAACAAACGAACCCTAAAGAATCAAAAGGTTTCAACAAACAAAAGTAATTACTTTGTTCAGAAACAGAAACAAAAGAAAAGAACCAAAACCCTAATGCCCTTTCAACAGAAGGACCCCCAAAAGAGCCTCGTATCAAAGGGCATTTTACTCGATTAACTCCAAAAGACGATTCAGCTGTGAGAATTTAAATAAGATCAACAATATCTCTTGTAATAGAAATCAAGTGGTAAAAATCGAAGAGATCGGCGACACAAAGGGGGACAATCAAGAAATGGAGCGTGTTTCTAAAAGATGAAATTTTTTTTTTAAACAATTTTCGTGGATTCTTACCTGGTTGGGAAGAACCAAAGGTCAATTTGAAGAAAGTGATGAGCTTATATCGATGACGATGATGATGATGATGAATTGAGACGTGATCTGTTGATGAAGTGGTTACCAAAAATAGAAATGCATCGGAGGTGAGGTGGTGTGACTTGGTTTTAGGGTTCAAATGATTGTGCGAGAGTTTCGTCGGATTTATGATTCCGGGGAAAATGTCGATCGGTGGTGAAGTGAGAGAGCGAAAGTATAGCCGTTGAGTTTGGTTTTTGTCTTGACCTGAAACATCATCAACAATGATGCTTTGTATTATCAACTATCAACGGCACTTTCGAGCGTCTTGCTTTCAATTTTTGCTTTTCTTTTTAGGGTTATTTTCATAAAAGACCCTATATTTTGATTTTTTTTCTTTTTAGACCTAAAACTTTTTTCTTTT